TACTATGACCGAATTCTCTGCATGAAGCATTATAGAAATGGCATGCTGAACAGAACATGTCCATCCTAATGGGAAAACTGAGGAGACTGGCTTGGTATAGAAACTGGAAGTGTGGTACTGATGAAGCAACTCATTTTAAATTTAGAACAGCAAAGCTGATGTCAAATTTCAAATGAAGGGCTAATTTCAATTATCTTAATAACCAAGTCAAAAATACAATCTCTTTTTTATTAAGAAATCCTAATGACTGAGGTAGATGATGCTGTTATCAGATACTGAAGGAATTTGGTTTAAAATAAATGATGAAACCAAGGGAAAGAAAGCACTGTTTTGAAATAATCTTCTTGTAAATTTAGATGGATAATTAAGAATGCTTCCAATTTAAGGTTCTTAGCACAAAATCCAGATATGTCATGTTATGGACTTGCTTCCTGAAGATGAAATCAGCAGTTGATGGAAAGAATCCACACTCTCACAGAACAGCAAATCACAAATGGTTGTCTCTGTGAAACCAGTAGCTCTGCATTTGATATTTCTATCTGGGCTCATTTCCAACTGTTCAGGATTTGGATTCCTGAAGGCTTCTTCAGCATTTAACTAATTCTTTGTTGGCTGAAGGGGCTGGGACTGTTTCTCCACACACAAACTGATCCTAAGACAGAGTGAGAAATGACATTAACCAATAAATTTCCGTGTCACAAATGCATTAACATTAAACCTTCATTTTGTTACAGAATCAATCCAGCTCTGTTAATTTTGTTTTTCCATTGCTATTATCATTTCATTGGTCAAAGAGCCAATGACAGCACTAGAATTAGAATCTTAAACATGTATCAGTTTTTGATTCTGAATTCATTATTTAATATAAAGCATCTTATAAACAAATATCCCCATCTTCAGTTCAGAGCAACCACTTCTCAGAAATCACATAAAGATATGCCACATCTTTTAAATTTCTGTATTACTACTTACACAAAACTTCTCCACTTTAATATTTGGTCATTCAAATACCAGTCCTCTTCAAAGTAATTACTTCTTCTAACTAAAAGGGACGGGTCTTTATGTGTTTCCCAACACAGATAATCTGCATCGTTAGCTACTTTGTAAATGAAGTTCAATCTCTGATCATTTATCCTGGCTATGTCAGCTACCACAAAAAATCTCTGCTTCCAAGGTTATCCCTCACCTCCAGCAATCTGATTCCTGAAGGATCAGCCCTTACTCTGTCCCTGCTACTCTGCTGTCCAATATTTGGAACCCTTTCACTGTGCCCTTTGGAATTCATGGTCCATTGTTAGCACAATGCTCCACATTCTCAACCTCTTCATCAAAATATCCTTTTACCCCCAAAAGCATTGGTAATATCTGGAAACAGTTTGAATGGAAACAACTGAGGATTGCTATTGGCATCTAATAGGTAGAGGCCAGGGATCCTGCTAGACATCCTATAATGCGCGAGATATCTCTGGACAACAAATAATTATCAGGTCTAAAATGTCAATAGTGTTGAGGCTGAGATGAAGTCATATTCTTAAGGACAGTTTCCCCTCTAGGCCTGTCTAGTGGAGGCTCTGTGTTCTCAGAGTCCTAGTACGAGAGGGATTGGAAATGGGGCTAGTTCCTCCTTTTTGCCACCCTTCTCCTTTCCTGTCTAAAACCTATCAGTTTAGAATCTTATGTCTTGAGACTACCGCATTGCTATTCTTCTGTTGCTGTCATTTATCCACCCTGGATGCCATATTTCAACTCCTCTGGACCTCCACCGTATTCATCCTACCATCCTTTCACTGCCCCTCACTCCCTTCATGTTCTCTTTACATAGTTCACATTCCACAGTTGGTTATAACAACTCTTCTCTCACTCCTTACTATTCACTTGGGAAAACCATCAACCTGGTTAAATCTAACTTTCTGTGTCTATATTCACTTATGAAGGCTGAATTTCTACCACTTTAAACACTCTCTTGATCCTCTATCACCACTGGTTACTGTCGCATGTCTCTGCTCTCCTTTGCAGCAAACTCCTTAAAAGAAATGCCTATACTCACTGCCTTCCGTTCTCTCATTCTCTCCAACCAGTTTTCTGCCCGTTGGTTTCTTCAATCATGCGCTGTTCCTGTTACTCCATGGAAACTGCTCTCGTCACCATCACAAATAAACTCAGTGTTACTAAAGCTAATGGTTTATCAGTGTCACATGACAAGGATCACCACTTCCTCGACCCTTTCTCAGCTGGTTTCCAGGATTTGACACTGCTGATTTTCCTCCTTTCTCAGTGGTTGCTTTTTTACCATCAGCTTTGGTGATTCCTCACTTCCCTCCCTGACTTTTTAATACTGGAGTGCCTTAATGCTCAGTCCTGTATTTTATCCATCTCTACATTCACAGACCTGGTGATCTCATCCAATTTCATGGCTCTAAATGCTGTCTGTCACTGATAACTCCAAAACTGACATTGCTAGCCAATCTCTCTCATGAACTCCAGACATATATATCCAATTGCCTTCTCAACAGCTCAACTTGGATGACAGACCTCTCAAACTTACTATGTACAATTTCAACCCCTATACCTATAGTTACATTCCCTCAATTGACAGTAACTCCATCCACCCAGTTATTAAGGTAAAAAATATTGAAATCATCCTTGACTCACTCCTTCACACCCTATACAAATCAGTCATTCAAAGCGTATCCGGAATCTAAGTACTTCTCATTACTTCCATTGCTGTAACCAGGTCCAAGCCACTCACCTCCTTCTTTAATTAGTGTAACAGCCTCCTAACTGGTTTTCCTGTTTCTATGCTTGCTCTCTATAGGCTACTCTGAACACAGCAGCCAGAATCATTTTTAAAAAAAAACTTAAGTTGGATCATAGCACTCCTATGTTTGAAAATCCCCCAATGGTTCCCTATATCACTTACAACAAGAGCCTAAATCCTTAAAGTGATCCACGACTTCATCTTGGACTATTCTCATCCTGCTCTGCTCTGGTCACACTGGCCTCCTCTTTGTTCCCTGATAAAATCAGGCATGTTCCTGTCTTGGGTCCCCTTCACTGAACGATCTTTTGCTCGACTCTCTTAACCCATACCCTCATATGTACACGGCTCACTTCCTTGCCTCCTTCAAATCTTTACTTAATAAGGCCTTTCTCAGTAAGGCCTGCCATGATCACCCTATGGAAAACTGCAACCTCCTCCCAGACCAGCACTCCTGATCTTCCTTACCCTGTTTGCTTTCTGTTGCAGAGCATATTTTAATACAAGAATGAATAATTATATTTCTAAATTATAGTCTAAATTATAGCCCGCTTCTCTAATGAGGCTCTGTGCCTTATCCCCTCTTTCCCTATATTCATTTTTGAGTACATTCTTCAGAGTGTTAAGCTCCTTACCTAAATTTCATTCCAAGTACTGAACTAAACTTTGGGCAGGAGTGGGCAGTAATAACATTTTTTTTTTCTATTGTCAACATCCTTGGGTGAAAGACAATAGGGCAACTAAAGACTAAAATGAAATTGTAAAGCTGCATCTAGGAATTATATCTCAAACAAGATAATGCAGAATTCTATGTATAAGCCAGGCATGAAATACCATACAATTGTTGCCTTCAAAGTAAGTCTAGCTCTAAACAATTTTAATTACATATTAAATAGAAGAGAAATATAAAAATTGTCCATTAAAATAATCTATATACTTTCTTCTATTTAATAAATAATAATTTTCACTAAAGCTAGATTTATCTCTAAAACTAAAATAAATTATGTAATCTGAACTTTAAACATTTTAATTTACTATTCGGCTGTTTATCAATGGTGTTTAAAACCTGCCTAAATACTGCACTTTACCTAACACAATGAAACATTCTCCTGCTCTCATCACTGACAGGCTGATCTAAGTCCTTGCCCCTGCCTTATAACACCCTTCCCCCGTTTTAAAAATTATATCCCTTACTTTGTCATAAATCACTTTTATAATGAGAGAGCAGCTAGGACACGTTGCAACGTCTTCCCCATTCTCCAAATCTTCCTACAACGAAATCAAACACCATGTGGTCAGCATAGTCTTTTCTTCGCCATATCCTCCCCCAAACCTATCCCACCCCTAGATGCAAGTCTCTTGGTGGCTTGCCTTCCCCGCAAGGTGGGTGAGAACCCCAGGGCCTTCAGCAGGAAATGCCGACATCATTTTCCCCTAGAAACACCTAGGAAAGTTAGGCGAGTTTCAGTCGCCCCAAAAGCCCTGGGAAACAAAAAACGAGTCCCCTCCTCGACAGAAATATCCCAGGCTGGGACTCTAAGGTAGCGATCGGGCAGAGACAGAGGCTCCCCGCCGCCCTCTCCCTGGCCTAATCTAAGACCAGAACTACGTGCCTACCGAGAGAGCTCAGAGTATTAGTTGGGGTGGGGGGATGCGGGAGGAGGAAGATTCAGCAACGGGAAAGAGGGCGTGGGTGACACAGCGCAGCAAAGGCTACCCAATGACGAAAGGAACACGGCGGAGCCAAACTGCGCTTGCTTGGGTGAACCGCCGGGCGGGACCCTGAAGTTACCTTGGTGATGGAGAAGTTATCTCCACATGGGCAGGGATAGAAATACGTCTCCGAGTCCTCGTCATATTGGAAGTCCTCGATTTCCACCTCGTCATGAAACACTGCCATGGTCAGCGGGGGTCGCCGATGGGGTGACGCCCCGGCAGTCCGAGACCAGCTCCGACGGTCTAACTTGGCCGGAACCGGCCTAGGCTCGGCATCATCAGGTCGCGCCGGGCAAGGACCAGCGCTTCCGGCGCATGGGCAATGACGCAACTCCTGCCTGCGCGGCCAAACGGATAACCGTTAGCGGTCACCATGGAGATGGCTGAGCTAGGGGCGGAGACGGCTGAGCTAGGGGCGGAGACACTGGGAAGACGGCACGTCTTGCTCAGCGGGGTCGCGCACCGCTCCTCCTATTGGATGGCAGTGACCAATAGAATGTGGGGCTCGCCCGCGCTGCTGCGTCATGTCTGGGACCGCGGAGTATCCCAGGTGCCGGCAGCTAAACGTGGCCGGGTCTGCAAGCAACACCAGCGGGGAAAGTTTCCCTGTTTCTTGTCGCCTGCTTTAACGCCTTAAACAGCCCGCTGAAAGCTGCAGCAGGTGCTAGGTAGCATCCTACCGGCCCTCGGGAAAGGCGGAGTGGGGAGGCGAGAGCACCTTAGCCTCCTTGACCTCCCTTCCTGGTGACGGACGAACAGTTCCGTGGAATTTCGCTTCACCGAGTGACCTTGAGCCCAGGGCGACGGTCAGCTTGTTCCTGGCTGCAGGTACATTCCGCGTCTTTCTCACCCCAGAAGTCTTAAAATATCCTAAATTGTGTTGCTGAAAGGACCAAGCCCTGGAAGGAAGGGATTGAGTTTTAGTCTTCTGTTTGCCAGACATATAACATTATTAACTACGATGATTTGTAGTAATAGTAATAACATCAGCTTTTATTATTAGGGAGTTATGTGCCAGTTCTTGCACTAAGTGGAATTGTCAGCTCTAGGAGTTTACATGTTATTCCATTTTATTAGTCTTTAAACTGAGGTACAGAGAGTTGGGCATCTTGACTAAAATCATGCACCTGGGAAATAATGAAGAGCTTTTCTGTCTCCAAGGCCCAGGGACAAATTACTTATGTGAGTACCAGTTTTTTCTTTGCGAAGGAAATGGTGTCAGTAGGCAAGTTTATCAGTGTGAGGCGTACGTATGCCTTGAAGCGAAATGCAGATAAAAGGCATTTTTGTCTTGAAAGCAGTGCTAGTGCCTGTTTTGGTAAAACCGAGTCCATTGGGTCTTACTCAATTACTGGGCATTTTAATATCTTAATAGAGAAGAAATGCATTGTAGTGAAAAAAAAAAAAGCGATTTTGAGAGAAGATCTGAGATCGGAATCTTCAGTTGTTGATTTGCTCTGGCAAGTGGGAATTTATATTCTTTGGGCCTTATTTCCTCTTCTAAGAAAGGATTGAAGTAGAGATAATATAAGATCCTTTTTAGATGTAACGTTGCACTTTTGCATGGAAATTGTGAGTTTTACTTGGTTCAGCAACGATATATAACATTTAGTTTACATTTACATAACATATCCCTGTGCTTATATTTACACACTCATATGTTGGCATAAAGTTACCAATTTTGTGCACACTTAGATGAAGCTCCACTCAATGTAGCCCTTTTAAAGCTTGAAAACTTAAAGGCAGAGGAGTTTTTGAGGGAAAATCCAGAAGCTATATTACAGGAGTTTATGGAGGATTATTTCAAAGGCCTCACAAACGCTGAATTTTGCGTAATTATAGATTTACCCAGCAGTTAGGAAACATTTGTTAAAACTTGTCAAGGATTAACTGTGATGATTCTCGTCTGGGCAAAGGAGACATCCCAGCAAAGCCCACACAGCTTGGAGGCTGCTCCACTGTTGACACAAATACTTACCACGAGCCTCTTGGAGACAGGAAAAAACGGGAGATTCTCCGTGTCTGTTCTGCAGTCCCTTTGATCATTTTGAGGTTGGGAGCCGTCTTTACTTCTTTAGTCCTTCTGAGTGTAAGTACTTGAAAATTCATTATGAGCCATTTTTATATGCTGAGGAATGGGTGTAGTCATATTTGGCTCATGGGAGGTATAAATTGGTAGATCTTTTAGAAAGCATTTCGCATCTATCAAAAAGAATTTGCTCAGGAATTTTAAAATCTGAAGTTAGTAGTCCTAAAAGTTATAGGGGTTGTTGGGTAGTTTTTCTTTGTAATGTTCCAACTTTTCTTTGAATGCATGTTACCTAAAGTGGAAAAAACGAATGAGCTACTTATTAATAATAGTTGACTCTGTGTTGGTCATACACTGTGACCAAATCCTTATGTGTATTATGTCATTAAAACAACCCGGTGAGGTATAAGTATCATTACCCCCTTCTTTAACATTGAGAAGCAGGAGGCTTAGGGGCTGAGGAACTTGCCTAAGGCAAAGCTGGTAAATGGCAATAAGCTATGATGAGAACTCAAATCTGTCTGACCCTAGAATCTAGGCTTTTAATTAACAGTAATGTCATTTTTGATGTGATGGTACTTCAAGCAGAGCTAGATTTAAAAAGCAGCACTGCAGCTCTGCAGACTGCTGAGATCTTCCTCTAAGCAGTGCTTGGTCCCATGAGAACTAGGTTTGGGGAGAGGAGGTTCTCTATGGCTTTCCATATGTTTTCATCGTGGCATCCATTGATTGTCCCCACTGTCTGGTCAGAGATGGCTGCTCTTAACGTTCTGCCCAATTTGAGCTTGTACCGTGCTGAAGAAAGTAAAACCATATCCAAGCATGTAATGTAGTTTATTTTACTCCACCCAGCACTTTTAAAGAAAACATTACAATGACTACTAAACTTTACATTTGTTCCTAAAAGGATGGAAATATTTTGTAATAACACCCTTTTTGACCCTGAGAGTGTAACATAAGCAGATTTATTAGTTGCTATAGTAATTTGAGATCACAAGTTTATCTATCATAAATGTTAACTAACACTGCTTATCCAGGAAACAACAATGCCTAGAGTTCTTAGCCTAAGTTCAGATTTAGAAAACTGAGGTGGACAGATCATGAGGTCAGGAGTTTGAGACCAGCCTGACCAATGATGAAACCCGGTCTCTACTAAAAATACAAAAATTAGCCAGGCGTGGTGGCACGTGCCTGTAATCCCAGCTACTTGGGAGGCTGAGGTGGGAGAATCACTTGAACCTGGGAGGCGGAGGTTGCAGTGAGCCTAGATGGTGCCACTGCACTCTAACCTGGGCGACAGAGCTAGATTCCATCTCAAAAAAAAAAAAGTAAGTCATAATTGTATAATGCAAAGTGTATTTGATGAGTGCTGTTGTATATCAGGCCAGAGGGAGTTGTTTATTGGCAATACCAAACCTCCACCTCTCTAGGTTGTTTGACAAGGAAGAGAAGGGGTCAGTGTATTAGGACTGATTTTAGTAACACTCTTGCTTGCCAGGTACTTTGGTAGACGTTTTATTTATTCCTCTCAGTAATCCAGTGAGGTGGCATGGGTAATGTTAAAATGGCTAAAATTGCTGAAGATTAGAAAGCAGGAAGGAGTCACACCTGAGCCCAGTTCTGCTGATTTCAAGTCAAATGCTCTGTGTATACTACTTGTTTACCAAGAGGAGCCCCTTTTCTTCCTCAGTGACACCTGATTCTAAATTGGCAGATGTCATGATTGTTCTTTGAACTTACTTAATTTCAGTGCATTTGTGCTTGTTGAGGCATTCCTGGCTTTTCTCTGTCAGTGTCCTCTCACACCCTGCCTAATGTATCAGCAAGTTTTGGGGCTCTAATTCCAAAATATATGTCATGTTCATCTACTTCTGCCATCTCTGTAGCTGTTACCTTATTATAATCTTAGACCAGAGTCTTTTAACTGGACTTCCTACTTCCACTCCTGCCCCTCTCTATTATCCTTCCCACAGCAACTTGAGCAGTCCTTTAAAAATATAAATTAGGTCTTGTCCTTTTCCTGATTGATTCAGACTTTGCAGTTGCTTCCCGTTACCCTTAGGATAAAATTCCTACCCTTACTATAGGCTGCTGGACTTCATCTCATTTCACTCTTACCAGCTTACTGCTCTCCAGTCATACTGGCCTTGGTTCCTCTTCACATGTCGGACTTATTTCTGCATTAGGACCTTTGCTCTTGCTGGTCCTTCTGCCAGAGTGATCTGCCTTTAACATTTGCTTGGCTGCCGTTTCCTCATCATTCAGGTCTCAGCTAAGGTGTCATCCCTGGAGAGAGAGCTTTCTTAATATTTCCCCCACCTACCCCATCACTCTTACTTCCTTTATCATACTCACCATAATCTATAATTATCTTGTTAATCATTTGTTTACTGCTATCTGTCTCTGCTTCATGATGGCAAGGGCCTTGTGTCTAGTTCTTTATTATATCTTCAAGGCCTAAAATAGTGCCTGGCACCCCAGTAATTGTTGAATGAACTCAGTATACCTGTTGAACTGAAACCATGTAATTAATCTTAAATGTTAAATTTAATCTGTTGCTTACAGAAGTTTGTTTTAGTACATATTTAGTGAGTGTCAGTTTTATTTAGCATTTATTATAATTTTCTGCATTTCAGAAATAAAATTAGTTAAGATTTCTTGGTAAGGGAAGACCTGTGAGGATACAGACATTGATGGGATGTTCTTCTTTATGTGGTTTTAGAAATAACTTGATATATATTGATCTGCTGTGGTTGATTAAATACTTACAGTATGAAACCACTGGACATATTTCAAAAAATTAGCAGGTTTTTAATTTTTTGTATTTTAGGACTGGCATAAAGCTTTGGAAAGCACTTTGAACAGAATTTTATTAAAATGTCCTTTATTTACCAGTAGGTGGCACTCTTGGTCATGGTTACTTTTACAAAATAAACTCGGGATTTTAAAGAGAACTGCTTTTTTTTTTTTTTTTTGAGACTGAGTTTCGCTTTTGTTGCCTAGGCTGGATTGTAATGGCACAATCTTGGCTCACTGCAACCTCCGCCTCCCGGGTTCAAGCGATTCTCCTGCCTCAGCCTCCCTAGTAACTGGGATTACAGGTGCCCAACACCATACCCAGCTAATTTTTTGTATTTTTAGTAGACATGGGGTTTCACCATGTTGGCCAGGCTGCTCTCAAACTCCTGACCTGAGGCGATCTACCCACCTCAGCCTCCCAAAGTGCTGGGATTACAGGCATGAGCCACTGTGCCCGGCAAGAACTGCTTTTAAAATTAACATTTGTTTTCCAGTTCAGTTGAGAAGGAGACCATTCAAACAGCATAATCATTAAACAATGTATCCTATTGTGAGGGCAACTTATTTTAGCAATAGTTGTCTAAAACATTGAACAGAACAGTATTTCCATATTTAACAATATAGTGGTTAAATTTTATCAGGGAACTTGGCCTTAAGTGACATATAACTGTGTCATTCTAGCCTTTGGTCTACTGTTTCCTGGGGTGGATATCCTAAGTAGAAGGTGTTAAAGACAGGCCAAGGAAGATGAACAGAAGAAGCTGTAAGATAAATAATCAAAAAAGAAAAATGGAAGCATGGAGGGAAGAATGAATGGAGAGCGGGTAATTGAGAGTGGGCTTGTTGTGAGGTGATGCCTACTGATTATAATGAACCTTTCCTTTGGCAGCTAAGAGGTAATAGTGCTTTTGATCAGTTCCCCAAAACATTGTTATATGTTGTTTTTGCCATTGCAGGAACTTTGTGAGAATTTTAATGCATGGAAAAACTGTCCACGTTCCAACTGCTGTACATCCAAAAGTCTCAGTGTAATAGCAGGACCAAAATATTCTGTCAATCAGCTGACCATATTCTTAATGACTACTAAAATCTCGTGGACTTCTAAAGTAAGTTTCAACTTCTTTCTTTCAGGGATGAAGGTAACATTATTAACTTAGAACATTTAATGGAGAGAAACTACATTTAGTGGTCTTGAATGAGGTCGAAGAGGCCTTCTGCTTTTTTCATTTAGTAAAGAGAAAAATAGCAAGTACCATGCTTATCCACAATGATGATGCAACATACTATGAAAAGAAGAAATGTATCATTTACCTAAAGACTAGTTATGAAGCAGTGAGCTTTTTAATATGATTGGGGTATAACGGAATAAACTATATATGACATATCACCATCAGATTTATTTATTTTTATTTATTTTCTGTCTTCATCTATTGAATGCCAACTCCCTAAGGTTTTTGTTTTCTTCATGCCTGTAGCACCATTGCTTACGCCAGTGCCTGCCACATACTGGACTCTTGATAGATACTTGTTGAATGAAGGACCAAATTAATGAATATGGAGTAGGAATGTAAACACTTAGCTTGAATATTTTGCTAACAGCAATTTATTACAATTAATTTATATACTGCCTCCCAAAAAGCTCAGAGAAAAAAGTATTCACATGCATTTTCATTTATTCTCAAGGTAACTAAGATAGAAAAGGACAGATAGAGCAATGTAACATATTAAATGTGGCCATTTTAGACAAATGTTTAAAAATTGACGTAGGAAAATGATATAAAAGGAACCAAAAAGAAATATCATCTGACTCCTAATCAGTGCATTTCTTGATAGGCTGGTAGTTTTTAGAATTTGAAATGTTGAAGAATCTCTGTGTGTGTGTGTGTGTGTGTGTGTGTGTGTGTGTGTGAGAGAGTGTGTGTGTTTAACTTTTTGTTGAAGTTCAACTACAAACAGAAAACTACAAAGATCCTAAGAGGACAGCTTAATCAGTTTTACAAAAAGTGAAAATACTCATGCAGTCTGCACCCAGATTAAGAAACAACATTGTCACTGCCACCTCCCAAGGGAAATTACTAACTTGATTTCTGACATCATAGATTCATTTTGTCTGTTTTTATACTTTATATGCTTTAGAATAAAAGAATATCTGTTCTTTGGGGTCTGGCTTCTTTCAGTATGTTATTTGTGATATTCATCTATGTTACTGCATGTAGTTACAGTTTGTTTTCATTGCTGTATAGTGTATCTTACTGTGCGAATATATCACAATTAGCTTATCTCCCCTAGTAATGGCATTTGGATAGTTTCCAGTTTGGGCTATTATGAATAGTGTTATTTTTATCAGTTTTGGTTTTTTAATATCTGGGAACCTTAAGCTTCTTGTTTGGGAACCACGGTAAATTTATCTTCCTCTTACACTTTACCTAACAAGAAATATAAAAGACTTATGTAGTGCTCTTTAGATAAAATACAATTATCAGGAAGTTACAAAATCTCCCTTCTTCTATAATAGCATAAGATTAGTCCTGTGAACTTGGTCAGAGATTTTAGAAAGCAACAGAGAACACGAATATTTGATAGCACCAAAAATTACATACTTATATACATAATTGTGGAGATACCTTGAGTCAACTCTAAATAGTGGAAGAAATTTTGTCAAGGTGAAGTTAGGCTCTTGGCTGCTTTGCTGGTAGCTTGACTCATAATAGCACCAACAGAAATCCAAATTCTTCTTCACTGACCTTCTAAAATGGTCTGCTATTTCCCCACTTTTTAAAACAGCAGTTTGAAATTTCAGTTTTATGTTTTCCCAGGAAGCGCCATGGCCTGTGCTGCTGTTATGATTCCTGGGTTGTTGCGGTGCTCTGTTGGAGCCATCCGTACTGAGGCTGCTTCACTGAGATTGACACTCAGCACTTTGCGCCACCTTACTCTAACCAGGTGAGTCATTAAGCCTTCTATGTCATTTGAAGTTGATTTTCAAAACGACCCGACCTGCTGATGGTTGTGGGAGGCCTATCAGACTCCCGGAAAGGTAGCATCTTGGCTTCAGCGTGCATGCTGTCAGGTTGTTAACCCTTTTTTTTTTTTTTTTTTTTTTTTTTTTTTTCCTGAGATGGAATCTTGCTCTGTCACCCAGGCTGGAGTGCAGTGGCGTGATCTCAGCTCACTGCAACCTCCATCTACTGGATTGAAGCCATTCTCCCGTCTTAGCCTCCCGAGTAGCTGGGATTACAGGCGGGCACCACCACACCTGGCTAATTTTTGTGTTTTTGGTAGAGACAGGGTTTCGCCATGTTGGTCAGGCTGGTCTCGTACTCCTGACCTCAGATGATCTGCCTGCCTCGCCCTCCCAAAGTGCTGGGATTACAGGCGTGAACCACCATGCCCGGCCAAAACTTCAGTTAGATGGGCAAATACTGGCCACTTTATAGGATCCATAGCGTTACACTGTATTTAGGATAACCATGATATTTCAGGAAAAACTAATTTTATTATTTTTGTGAAGATAATATGTAATAACTTAATTTTACTTTCTGTTAAAGCATAATGAAATCCAAAAGGAAAACTGATCACATGGAGAGAACTGCAAGTGTCGTTCGACGGGAGGTTTGTATCTTCGGGGTATGACAGGTTTTTCCGGCTACTGGCTTATGGGTAAAGTGTTAGATGAGTCTGGTCCTTTTGAAGGACAGTCGGGAAGTTTGTTATTTTTCTATATAGAAATTTTCTGAGCAGGACATATGATATCTGATTTGAAAAGATGATAGATACTCAAATTTTTTCCCTTTAAACTTGGAATGAATGGATTACCTGTTGATGAAGGGAGTAGAGCAGCAGTTGAGGGAGCCATCCTCACAGGTATGATGTTTAGGGTTATATTTTAGCACTAGAATTTCTTTTAGAGCCTACATTTTATGAATAGCTTACCTTTTTTTGTGTGTGGGGTCTTTTTTTTTTTTTTTTTTTTTTGCATCATGTCTCAAAGTCTTTGTTCTCGTTCCTACTTTAGAACAATTTATTTCATCAAGGGAGAAAGCACTAACATCTGAGAAAGGAAAATGGACAAGCTCTTGTTATCCTTCTAATGTACAGATTTTTTCCACCATATTCAGACTATAGAAAGCTAATCTACCACCTGAAAGGGTGTCAAGGGCTGAGAAGTAAAGGATCCTCACCCTTTACCTCAGTGAGTAACCCCATTTTTATTTAAAAACATAAATTGGATATTTGATTTTGCTTTTTTGAATGTTGATCACTTATTCAGGTATATTTAGCTTAGGGTTATAAGTCTATTGAAGCTAACAATAAAAATCTATTTCATATAAGGAACGATTATATACTTCTACAAACATAGGCAGAAATTATATTGTCTTATTTAAATTTATCTATTAATAGAAGGATACACTTTAATGTAAAGGCATATTGTTTAGGCCCTACTTTTAAGGCTAACTTCTTTCAGAAAATTACCTTGGGACTAAGGGTATATGTTTGTCGATTCAGCTTAAAGTTCTTTTTTTTTTTTTTTTTTGAGAAGTTTGTAAAATTAGTTCAGCATAGTAGATTTAGGAGCTTGTGGGGAAGTACAGTTTTCACAATGGTAAATCTGAAAAGACCTTTTGGTTTGTTGAAGTGACCAAAAATGCTGATTCCGTAAATGTAAGACTTGTTAGGATTTCTTTTTAAAAAATGAAGGCCTTGCAAATTGTGAAAAAAAAGTGATTTCTCTTAAGACTCTTTCTTGTTGTATTTTGAGGCTGGCGGAATTAGAGCAGAGGTTGAAAATCTTTCTCTAGAAGGCCAGATAGTAAATATTTTAGCTTTTTTGGGCCATGCTGTCTTAATAACAACTTCTAATCTTTGATTTTATCATGTGAAAAGAGCCATAGACAGTATGTAAACAAATTTCATTTACCAAACACCCAGATTTGGCTCTGCAGGTAATAGTTTGCTAGTCCCTGAATTAGAGTATTCATTTCAGAATTTTATTTTACATACCAATTAATTTTAATAGCCTGCAGAAACCAAGTGAAATATGAGCAAAAAAGAATCATCATGCATTTACAACAATTAGTGCATTATTTACTGTTGAGCATCAACTGATATTTATTGAGCACCTCCTAATTTCCAGGACCAAAAACTTTTTTGTTACCTTACGGAATTCTCAAAACTATGCCATAAAATAGATAATAATATTTTAAGACAGGTAAGATAGATAGATAGATAATAGTATTTTTTTTTTTTTTTTCTTTTTGACACAGGGTCTTGCTCTGTCACCAGGCTGGAGTGCAGAGGTACAGTCATGACTCACAGCAGCTTCTGTCTCCCAAGCTCAAGTGATCCTCCTGCCTAAGCCTCCTGAGTAGCCAGGACTATGGGCACACTACTGTGCCCAGCTAATTTTTAATTTTTTGTAAAGATAGTCTTGCTGTGTTGCCCAGGCTGATCTTGAACTCCTGGCCTCAAGTGATCCTTTCTCCTTGGCCTCCCGAAGTGCTGGGATTACAGGCATGAGCCACCACACCTGGCCAGTATTTTCTTTTTAACAGATGAAAAGAATAAGAATCGGACTAATAGCAACTTGCACAGCATCCATCATAGGCATTAACATACTTAATTATGTTGACTGCCAATTCTAAGGAAACATATTTTCACATTTTTATTGTTGCCACAAAGTCTTTACTTTTACATTTTTCAAATTTGTGTGGATATAAACAGTATTTTTATTTATATCACCATCATTTCTCTTCCTTAATAAAAGACCTTTATCTCCCTAAGGTTATCACCACTTATCTGTAATTTCTTGCTTATTAATTTTAATAAAATTTACATAAGTGGGAATGTACAGTATTCGGTATTCTGCAGTTTACAGATGAGGCAGGCACATGCTTTAAAGGTTACACCTATTAAGAAGTAGATACTAAGGGCACGTCCCTCTCTGAGTACGCTCACACTGCCTTTTCTTGGGTATGTGCTGGAAACCCTTCCAATAAATCGCTGTACTGTCACAAAAAAAAGATATCAACTGTGATTTCTAAAATATACTTAAATATATTTAAAATTAGCCTCATTAAAATTTTTGGTTTGTAAATGTAGCTGTATAACTACAGTATGTTAAGAAGCTTAAATGACTGTGTATTATGATGGTCAGTGACATATGAAGTACCAATACACATATTCTTTCAAGTTTGAAGTACCTCACCTGAGAACTGGGCTAAGGGGCAGTTCCTTAATTTGGTTCAACTGGAATAAAATTATAAAAGGTGTATTTTCCTTTATGTAACAGATATATAACTATAGCCAAAAGATCAGACAGCACAGAATTCAATAAATATTGAGGATAATGGAATAGTTATTATCAAATTCTAGCCAACTTCTAGTATTATGAAAGTAATCTTAGAGAAAACCTGTTCTAACAAAATTATTTTAAGAAAAAGGGAAGGAACTGTAAAGAAATAGACTATTAGAGATCTAGTAAATATTCCTATTTTATAGATTAGAGACTGAGGTTCAGTCTTGATAGGTAACTTGCCCAAGCCATATATGCCAGTGGTGAAACCAGGACTGATTGCTGAACCTGACTTCTGTTTCAGGTTCTTTTGAACATGCCCTTGTTCTTTCATGTTATGCCCGAATCATATCATTTATTCACTAAATTTTAACTTTAATTTGGAAAACTATCAACTAATAAAACTGTTTCTCTTTAGCACAACTCTCTAGTTTTTCTAAAAATGAGCATTATAAGAACAGGATACAGTTCATAACATTGGAGCACTCTCATAGTTCCTTAAGATCCGAACTGTATACGGGAAAAAGTTCCCTTTATATAAAGTTTGATTTGGCTGGAAAAAGCTTATAAAACAGTCATAGCTTTAAAGCCTTTTTACGCTATATCATAGTGACATCCTCTGTTGTAAAACGGTTTTTTATCATCTGACATTTTCTTCAGATAGGCAGTTTTCCTGCTTTGGCTGTCTTATAAGAGCTTCCAAAGACTTCAGTCTACCTATAGTTTATTGTTTGTAGGTCAAGAAGAGTTATCTTCGAATGTAGCTTAGAGACTTTCTGCCAAAAATGTTCTTTATTTGTGTCTTGTCTGCAGTAGGAATGTTCAATTTGTGTTCGAGCGCAGTGGCTCATGTATGTAATCCTAGCACTTTGGGAGGCTGAAACAGGAGGATCACTTGAGACCAGGAGTTCAAGACCAGCCTGGGCAACATAGCAAGACCCAGTCTCTACAAAAAGTTGCAGATTAGCTGGATATGGTGATATGCTTATAGTCCTGGGTACTCAGGAGGCTGAGGCAGGAGGATCACTTGAGCCCAGGAGTTCAGGGTTACTAACGTGAGCTATGATGGTACTACTGTACTCTAGCCTGTGTGGCAGAGCAAGATCCTGTCTCTTAAAAAAAAAAAAAAGAGTGTTCCATAGTTTACATCCTTATATAAGGAGTCTTCAGTGTCTGTGTCTTCCATTTCCCTGGTTTCTTTTTGGGCAGATATAAAAGAATTAACTATAGGTTTAGAAAACTGGCAATAATAGATTATTTATTTGTGTTTAATTCTTCAACTGTTTGATTAATTGTGCTAAATAAGAATGAATTATCCTGTGCTGACCTGATTTTCATGGAATATTTGTAAAGTTTGGATTAGCAAGATAATTGGTAGTTATTTCAAGCACTTCTTGGGTTTCCAAAGACTGTTGAATACCTTCTGAATTTGAAGTTTTCAAAGTAATAGTTGTAGAATTTAGATACTCAAAAGATGTGTGAAAACCACCTATATCCCTATTTTAGTTAACTGATGTTTTCAAGATAGATTCTGGTTTCCTAGTTAATCTTGTTTAACTAGTTTAAGAGTTTCCTAGTTAATCTTGTTTAATTAGTTTAAGAGTTAACATGTATTTTGACTTGAACCTGGGAGGCAGAGGTTGCAGTGAGCCAAGATTGCGCTACTGCACTCCAGCCTGGGCAACAGAGTAAGACTCTGTCTCAAAAAGAAAAGAGTTAACATATATTTTGTATACTTCTTGGTTTTGGAAGCTGGTGACTTTACCAAGGCAGATGAATCAAGTAATTGCATGTTCAGGGAGCACATCTGTGTTAACTGTATTTTACTTTGCCTCATTTAATACAAGTGATTTTTCTGATTTGGCTTTTAGGCATACTTTTTTCTCATCTTCCAATTTTTTCTTCTGGGTTTGTTTGTTTGTTTTTTAAGAAGGGTCTTTTCCGTGATTGTCTTCAGGCAAAGGAAAAAGTTGTTGGAAAGATACTTTGTTTTAAATATCAAATCCCCGTCTGATGTCAAGAGAGTCAGGAGTGAAATGGTCACTGCATAGTGACTGGTATTTACTAGAAATGCATCAATCTTGCTTTCTATTTTTTTTTTTTTTTTTTGCCACTTTTCAAGTGTTTCTTTGTCATTTAGAGGAAATGGGTCTTTATTTTTTTTGTCCGTGGTGATTCATAGAGTAAATCGCTGTCCTATATAGCTGAGTGTCACTTGTATGAGGTCCTGGGAGACCCGGGGCCAGCAAGAGGTGCAAGGTGGCCCTTCTTCCATTTCAGAATTTTATAGGACAAAATTATTGGGACTTTTAGGGGATTATTTTGAGCCAAGTTTAGGTAAACTACAAAGAAAGTTAATTCAGACTCTTTAGAATTTTAGTGCCCACAAGTCAGAAAATTACAAATCCAATCGTGGTACTACCTTTCAGGAATTTTTTAGTTGCATCTCTTCTCCTCTTCTGTTTCTCTTTCTTTCTTTTCTTTTCTTTCTTTTTTTTTTTTTTTTTTTTTTTTTTGAGACAGAGTCTCGCTCTTGTTGGCCAGGCTAAAGTGCAATGGCGCGATCTTGGCTCACTGCAACTTCTGCCTCCCGAGTTCAAGTGATTCTCCTGCCTCGGCCTCCCCAGTAGCTGGGATTACAGGTACCTGCCACCATGCCCCGCTAATTTTTTTTTTTTTTTTGTATTTTTAGTAGAGACAGGGTTTCACTATGTTGGCCAGGCTTGTCTCAAACTCCTGACCTCGTGATCCACCCACCTCGGCCTCCCAAAGTGCTGAGATTACAGGCGCGAGCCACCGCTCTCGGCCCTCCTCGTCTGTTTCTAATTTCCCTTCTTCTCCCATACAGAATAAGAACTGCGAAGAGTTGGGAGGAACTGGAGAAAGCTAGGTGATATCTGGCTTTCTCGGCAGTATATGGCCATTAGGGACTTGCCCCAATTTCCAGAGGGTGCTTCTAGCCATAGAGTAGGGGCGGGACCTTGGACTGGTTGAAATGAATGGCACCTCAGGTTTGGCCATGACAGAACTGGATCAGCTTCTCATAGTCACGTCTTCCACTCTTACCTTTAATTTGTATAGTGAGTGTACTTTACACATGTTATTTGCTCTTCAACTGAAGTCCATGAGGTATCCTAAGGATACGATGTCAGGTGGATTTTACAAAGAGGAAGCAGGGCCTAGGACATGTCTCTCAGTGGCGAAGGGAAGCTCCAGCTCAGAATTCCTGGGCTCGAGGACTGTGCTGCTGCTCTTGGAGTCGACAGAAAATGGAGTACTCACCCAGAAATGTTCTTTTGGTTTTGGGTATTGTATTTCCTCTGGAAAGCTTACTGAATGACCGTTTATGATGTTTATGCTTCTTACTTGGGACTGTAACTGTAAGTAGTCTGAGATTGTGCTGATGGAGGAAACTGAACTCTGAATTGAATTACATTGGAATGTTTGTGTTTGAGTTTTATTCATTTTATTCTTAAGAATCAAAAGAATAAGCAGTCTGAACCCTAGAAATGTCAAGGAGATAAGGGTAGAAATATTGTAATGCAGTAAGAATTGTTCAGGCAAGACACATTTTACTGGAGGGGTCATTCCGTGCTTGGCCTCTATAGACTTGGCCTACTGAGCAGGATATGCTCTCTTCATCAGTTTGTTGGGAGAGTTTGGCAGTGAAAGAATTTCTTAAATTACTAATTCTTATGCATTCATTTGTTCATTTGGAAATGTGCCAGACCTTGGGCCAAATCCTGGGGTTACAGCATTGAAAATGATAGATAAGCCCCTGTCCTCAGATTTTAATGGGACTCTGATCAGAAGATTTTATGCACCTAATTGATTTTGGAAAACTTTCTAATTCTTTTTCTGCTGTACTAGTTTGCCTTTAGAAGCCTATGTCTTTTTCTACTGTATCTTATGTATATATTGCCTTTTTGTTTACAAAGCACCAGATTATACAACATTGATTCTCAAGTAATCAACATTGATTACTTGATTCTCACAACCATTCTG